GTGGGCTGAGCTTTGGCTTGGGAATCTCACTTCTCGAGATCCTCGGGGCTTCGGAACTTGCTTCGAGGCTCGAGAATGATACCGGGGCTTCGAGATATAATTGGCATGCAAAACGATGCAAAACTTAGAGAGAAATGAAGAAAAATGGCAAGGCAATGGCTGATCTCGGTTTCTATTTATAGGTTGTTGGATTTGGGATTACGTTGGGTGTAATTTCCAAGTACGCTGGGCGTACGCTTCAGATAAGCTTTGGTATGTGTGCCACGATCTTCAAAAATTCATAACTTTTGCATACGAGCTCCGTTTTTTACGTTCTTTATATCCACGCGTAGGTGAGATTATGCTCTACAACTTTCATTTATACTACGTTGGCTAATTGTGACTTTATTTTTATTATATTATTTTTAGTAGGCCGGGACAAGAAAACTCCGTTATAAATTCATAACTTCTTCATCCGACGTCCGTTTTCGTCTCTCAACAAGATCTTCGATTCTCGTTTAGATTGTTTCGGCTAAAAACCGATCGATCTCAAATCGAGTATTCGGGCTACATACCGCTAAGTCGAAACTTAGAAAAATCATAACTTCCTCATACGAAGTCAGATTCGGACGTTCTTTGTATGCACGCTCATGGTTTAACAAACTCTACAACATTTGTTTAGATCGCTAAGGCTAAATATCAATCTAACATAAATTCACTTTTTACGTCATTCAGCGTCGTGTCGGTTCTGTCGTGAAACTTCGACAGGTCATAACTTCTTCGTTATAACTCGGATTTCGGCGTTTTTTATATGCACGGAAACTTTGTGACATATACTACAACTTAGTTAAGGTTATTCATTCTAAATAAACTTCTATCATAAAGTCGTTTTTGATGTTTATCGTCTCTTAATTGATTAGCCCTTATCTACGGGTGTTACACCACTGTTTATCAATATTGGTCCTATTGTGTTAATATTGAAGTTAGGTGTGCTTGTATACTACAGAAATCTGTTATGGTTGATGTTATATTCGTATGTTTGGCAAAAATCTTGGTTCATATTCAACAACGTGATGTCATGACTTTAAAGGGACTTAAAGTCATGTGATTTTCCTAAAATCCAAACACCTGAACCAACTTTTTTGCACCTAATTTTGTTTACATTTCAAACAACTACTTATGTTTAGCCAGTTTCACAAAAAAATGGCATTATCATTTTGAAAAATGACAAAATTATGTTATGTTCAAAAGGCTTCAAAAGGGAGTACATGAGGAACCTACAGGCTTACTTAGAAGAACAGATGAACTTTAGGTCCATTGTTTACAAGAAAAAATTTAGTTTAACAATTATGATGATAATTATAGACTTATAATAATACCTATAATTAAGCTATATCTCTCTCTTGAAATGTTAATTATTCATTGAACATAAATAAACTAGGATTGTTGTGATTTTTTTCTGTTCATTTGCTTTCCTCTCATGGCAGGTACCAATTACCAAATGAGCATGTTTAAAGGTGGATCAATATTATCTATATGTGTCATGATGATGATGATGACGGAGGGGTAAGGTAACTAAACTATATACTAGTGATATTAACTCTCTTGTTTCTGGCAAAGTCGTTGAAATCAATGAACAACTCAACATCTATTAAATTATTAGGTTGGATGACATTTTACATCCAGACTATGGATTAGAGCGAAAAAAGCATGTTCATGGATTCGGGTATCATTCTAGAACCAAGCAGGAAGTATCGAGGAGGCAACAATTGTACACTATGATGGAGTAATGAAACCATGGTTAGTATTGGCTTTAAAAAATATATAATCTATTAGATAAAACATTTCAAATACGATCACCCATATTTGCAACCGTGCAACATAAAATAACTTCATATATTTCATATTGTAATTCACTTGTGATTCACATATGAATTACATGTGATTCACATGTAAATCATATGTAATTCACATATGAATTACATGTGATTCACATGTAAATCACATATGAATCACATGTGATACACATGTAAATGACATGTAATTCACATATGAATTACATGTGATTCGCATGTAATTCACATATAAATCACATGTTATTCACATATGAATCACATGTAATTCATATATGATTTTCACATATGAATCACATATAAATCACATGTTATTCACATATGAATCACATGTAATTCATATATGAATTACATGTGATTCACATGTAATTCACATATGAATTAAATGTGATTCACATGTGAATTACATGTGATTAACATATGAATTACATGTAATTCACATATGAATTACATGTGATTCACATGTAAATCACATATGAATTACATGTGATTCACATATGTATTTTTGTGAGTGTTTTTGCATCAATAAATTTATTTTTAATTTTCTTATATATTTGGAAGAAATTGTGGTGAATATTGAAGAGATGAAAAATGATAAATCGAAAAAAAATATGGAAATATTGACACGAAGACATGAAACGCTTTGAAATTTGTAACAGTTTTTGTTTTTTATATTTTATTTTATATCGAATACAATATTTATTCTATTGTGTTTATAGATTAGTAAATAAAAACGTATCATTTGTATGATATACTTACGAATATTGTAGTATAAGAAATATGTATATATTCACTTGAAAAAATATGCTTATATGCTCCTAAAAGGTTGCCTTTTTTTTGGTTAAAAAAGTTATAGTTTTTTTTCTAATATTCCAGTTTTTTTAATTTATTAAGTTTATAAGATTTACTGTTTTTAAAATAAATGC